GTTTAGTCGATGAGTTCCTATGTCTTACCCGAGAGTTCTCGAGTCGGAAAAATGGGAAGTTCGTGTTGTTATTTGACGGAGCATTATGATGTGCATAAAGGCTATGTTTGATTCGTGAAGTCGATATCATTGAGAGTATGATCACTTTGGAGTTGTACCGCCTATATGTGGTACCGTGTCGTGGTCTCTGATGGAGACGTGCGGTCCGTGATGAAATCGTGAGCAAGTTGTCAGTGTGACTTGGGCACGAGACTGAAGCTTAGCGTCACGTATTCACCTTGATGGTCGGACAATCGAAGTATGCTAGCAATACGCCAAACGACCTGTTGGGGTCTTGGGTGTTGTTAGGTACGAAGCAAATTGTTGATACACATGGATATAGGCTAAGCTGGACTGGGTCCCTAGCAAGAGGATGTACGCCTAAGCTCGGGCATGATTGATCACCCTCCCATGCAAGAAGGTAAACATATGAGCATAAGGCGAGTCGGATTGGATCCTGTATGTGAGTGTATGCCTTTCGAGTATAGGGCGATAGGACTCATACGAGGGAAATCGAGTTTCAGAGGGGATACCCGGACCTCATGGTGGGAAATTCTCGTTTGAGTCTATCGTTTCTTCTGGTTGCGTGTTCTTTAGTATTTTAGAGGATGGAAATCATTTAAGGAAGATAGACTGTAGCGCCCCATTCGATTTATACAATTTCTCAGATTATTCTATTAATCGAATATTATTTATGAGGTTATATTTATTGGTCGCAAGGTACATAAATTATATGTTTAAGTATTCAATCGTTTTATTGTAAAACGTTCGTCGTTCGGCAATTTCGGTTTAATCGCATAAATCGGACCTAACCCATTCGATTATTGGATTTTATGTATTTATTTTGATTTTATTTGATTATATGGTATTATCTTATTTTGGCTATATATGAGTATTTCTTGATTAAAGCCATCATATTATATTGTCTTAAAGATGATATAATGTTCCGTTCGATTTAATTTAATTAAGTCGTTCGAAAATTCGATTTAAAACGGACCAAGGATCGATTTTTATCTTCGCATATTGACCGAACCGAGCCAAAGTCAAACCAGGGTCAAACCGGACACTTAGAAATAAGTCATTTGGCCCTAAAAAGTACACCAGGCCGCGCTCAGCCCGCGTGATGAAGATGTGGTCATTGACCCTTACGAGCCCGAGGGTGAGAACCATGATGGCCTCGAGAGATGGCGCGAGGTTAGGCGGGAAAGGGCTCGAGGATGAACTAAAAGGGTGTGCATACGCACTAAGGCGCGCGCACCGGCAGGACGCGACAACCGAGCCGCGAGGCGTGCGAGTCTAGGCCGGGTGAAGCAAAGGTACGCGACGGGTAGTGCGCGCGAATGTGAGCAATGGGCCGATGATGAGTGTGAGAAGATAGTGCCCGGGAAGGTGGGCGAGTAGTGCAAGGCGTGCGCGAGAGAGCGACGTGCACGGCGAATGGAGGCTAAGGCAAACGGTGCACGAGGGGTGGATGTAGGGTGGACAGCGTGCATGTAACGCCCCACTTTATTTTAAAGGATTTATCGAATTTATTTAATAAAAATCACAATAATTTTTTTTTTTTTTTTTCAAACTTAAATTTTATTTTAAAACTCAGTGGGCGCTACTCAATTTTTCCAAAAGCCTTTAACCAAAAATGCAAACGTATCAAATAAAGACATCACAATTCTAAGTTCAAAACGACACAGTCATAATATCTCAACATAAATGAGCGGAAGCAAATAAATAAGCGATAAATAAAAGCATGACCACCACCCGTCTTGTCTTGTCACCCGCCGACTGCTTAACCTGCATCAGTTACGAGCAGGTGGGAGTGAGTACAGTTAACTATCGTACTCACACTATGCATTGCACGTTTCATAATATGTCAAATTGGCATGATCGCAGCATGAACACAAACAATACACATATGTCACATCTCCATCATAACATAAATACTCCTGTGCACATCTTTCATAATAGTCGCGGAAAGGGGATTCATTACCCTAACGGCGAGAGTACGTGCCACGCAAGGACACGGCCTTTCATAATAGGTCTTAACGAGACTTGCCTCATAAGGCAACCGTATTACATCGACGGGGACAACCGTACCGATGGCCATCATAATAGCTCACATCGATAGGCTACATATTCACATTCATACATAGATCAAGCCAAAACAATAAACATATTTAACACACATTGCACAGATAATTTTAGAATAACAACCCACCTGGATTCCGGATTGATGATAACTCAAAGCAATGGAAGTAGGTCGAGGCTTGACTCCTCAAACACCTACATTATGTCAAGATCCTACAATCAATATCTTGACTTAATCGGAAAACACAAAACAAACCTAGTCGAACTTGTTTCGACTAGGTAGTTCGTGAAGTCCTGTGGATGTTGGAATACTAAGACTCGGCACTAAACTCGACCAAACCACATATGGGAGTTCAAATAATTTCATCTAATGATAGACCAAGTCAAACTCACAACAGAACGAAAAGCAAGTCGATTACCGTTTTAAATTCCAAAATCGTACTTTAAAATTTACTAGCTATTAATCACATGAAAATCATTAACCAGGCTGCCCTACGACTTAAGCTGTGAAATTTTAGCCAAAATTACATCTCCCAGTAATTAGTGAAACCACCAAAATTCAGCTTCAAACTCAAAGCACATAAATTTATAAAATTCCTACAAGAAATCAGCAAAAATGCACATGGATTTATATCTGAACCTAATGAACGGTTCAGGACTTGAAAATTTAACACAACAAGCTACAGCATCATAGAGACAACATGTAAAAATCTCAGTCCTGGACATTAACTGTGATAATTTTAAAAATTCATGCAAGATTCTGCAGTTATCGAATTTAAATCAGAACAGAGCTAAAATGAACTCCAAAAATTTTCATCTTTTAACAGAATGAATATACACTCAAAGTAGGCATCTCAGTAAAATTTCAGAATTTTTCACCAAACAACCGATTTATAAAAATTCAAACTATTTTCAGCAGATTCGGTAAATAAATTATTAACCATATCAAATCAGGTCCAAAAATTCTAAAAATTTAACACAACATATAAACATCACAGAGGCATGACATACTAAAATTTCAGCTCATTTCAAACACAAACCAATTTACTAAGCATTAAACAATATTCTGATCAGAATTCACTTTAATTATTAAAAATAGCTACAGGCCTCTAAGAATTATGAAATTTTTACACAAGGCTGGAAATGAAAAGATAACATATCCCTCAAAATTTCAAGTCATTCCGAGCAGTGTGCGATTTATAAAAATTCAAACACCAAAACAGCGACATATATGCTCGGCAACTTAGCAATTAATTCATAACACGAAATTTCTCGTCCGAGGCCTTCCCATAAGGCCAATGACTCGACTTTGTTCCAATATCCACTGACTTACACGAGTTTCGAGGCCTCATTCGATTTCTCATAATCGAAGAGATCCCGAACATATATACGATTACACATAAAATCATCTCTTTCTCATAAATTCATGTCGAACCCATTAATCGCAACATATTCACATCTCGTAAATCAAATCGTAAGGGCACATCACGTCATTTAAAACACGATAAGAAATTAACATATAAACGATTTAAACGAGACGGGATCGACTAGGTACCGTTCTCGGGAAAACTCGAAAAATGGAAACGAAAAAGACGAACGGGGATGAAGGGCTCGACGGATTCTCGCGTCTCGCCGAGAAAGAAGGTGCAGCAGCGGCTATTCTCGACTGCTCGGTTGCTACGGCACTCGATGCTTGAGACGAGGAGCAGCTCGCGGCGACACAAAGCGGCAGCACGGGCTCAACTGCTGGCTCGCGGAAGAGGAGCAGGCTTGACGCGGCCGCAGGGCCTCGTTGGTCGTCGGCAGAGGGGCAGTAGGGTCGCCGGAGGGGAAGTCTCGTCGGCTTGCAAGCAGAGGGCTGCGGCGATGGAGGGCTTGCAGGCACCGGTTGTGGAGGACTCGCCGGAGGGAGGGCCTGCGCGCGGCGGAGGGGAAGGAGGACTCGTCTGTGGTGTTGCTGTTGCGGAGGAGACTCGCGAGCAGGGCCGCGATGATGGTGATGATGACTGGTCTGGTCCACGGTGAGGCTACTGGTTCGCGGCGGCGAGATGGTGGCGTGAGGATGATGACTGGAGGATGACGAGATGATTGGATATGACTATGGCGACGGGTTAAAAAACGATAGAGAGGGTTGATGATGAAGGAGATGAGATGGTGAGAGATTGATCGATTTTCTGATGCGCGATCGAAGAGAAGAAAATCTGATGAAAAATAAAGCTGCGATGTAGATGAGAGAACCGAGCGAGAGGAAATACACGCTAGGTTAAAAGAAATCTCATGACATCACACGCGTAAAAGAGAGATGGGCCGGGTCGCGCAGGTTCAAGCCAGACGGTTTCGGGTCGCATATTAAATGGGCCAAAGGTTTGAAAGATTTAAGTCGTAGGTTCAATCCAATGCATACAATTCTCTCGGGCTCAATCTCTCGGGCTCGATAAATCGGTTGATTTAGCCAATATAAAATGGCTCGGTTCGCACGATATTTTATAACAAAAAAAATTCAGCTATAATAATAAAATATATTTCACACATTATTTATAATAATAATACACATTAAACATTTATTTCACAATTAGGCATTTAAATAAAATAATAATAACAATAATAAAAATAATAATAATAATGACAATAATATTAATAACAAACAATGGTAATAATAATATTAATAAATAATAATAAATAATCCTAAAATTATCCATAAATAAACGGGGTGCTACAGTGCACTTGGGGCGGTTAGGGTTTTTGGCGCGATTGACTTGAATAAAAGGCATGTGCCTATTAGGAGATTTGGGCATGATTTACTTAGAGCATGTTTGTTAGCCAAGATAGGATGAGATTGCACCCTTAATCTGGCCAAAAAAGTTTGTTTGTTTCATTAGATTGTGGCCCGAGATAAAGGTGACGGCCCGCGATCAAAATGGCATTTATCGGCTGTTTCCAAGATTATTCCATCCGGGCTTCCTCCCCAAGATTGCTGAAATCTGCACAGTAATTTCTTTCTCAAAAGACCTTTGTATCCCTATTTTTTTAACATTTCGGACACCCACACCCTTGAATGGTTGAATAATTACTCAATTGCCGTTCCACTTTCTTTCTTGGCTAATCGTTCAATTGCTAGAGGATTGCTGAAACCTCTGATGAGAATTTCATTCTTGAGCTCAGGGACGCCGGCGAGGATCTTGAGCTTCAGAAGCTCTTCGTGGAGCTCGAGCTTGGAGTGGGTGAATTTGTCTGGGTTTTCAGAGTACCTGGGATTTGTCGAGTGCTTCGAGGAGGGAGAGGTCGAAGGGTGCGGAGAATGGCAAAAGTGGCGCCGGCGGATGCGAGGCGCTTTCGTTTCTGAGGAGGAAGAAGGTCCACTGGGACTAGGTCGCCGTTTCGTTAGCCATTGCGTTTCTGATCAAATATTGAGGATGAAATGCAATGGGCCTTCGTAGCGTGATATATGAAAGTTGGCCCAATATACGTCATTTCTACTTTTTAACTTTTTATTTCCAGACAAAAATAAACTGTATGGAGAAAGAAAATTACTCCATTTATGTATAAGATTTTTATTTTGATTGTAGATGTTTTTTTAGTATTTATGAGTAATTGATTTTCAGTTTATCTTTATTATTAATTTCTAACTTGCATAAACTATATGGAGAAAATTACTCCATTGATATTTTAATATTTTTTTAGATATCTTAATTTAAAAGTCGTTTATAAATAATTTATTTGCGACTTGAAAGGGAAAAAAATCAGGTGACACACCATCACTAACATGTTGAATACAAAATTCATGCAGCTTATCCCACAGTTTCTTTGTTTTTATTTGGGTTCCCAGTTTCTTTGTTTTTATTTGGGCGTATTGCATGGCTATTGATTTTTAATTTGTTATAACTTATGTTTGTATCTTCTGTATCTTCCTATGATTTTGAACAGGTGAAAACATCTTCATGAGACGCATTTCGAATGCTTCATAAAAAAATCATATTATTAGAAAATGAATAAAAATCCAACAAAGAGAAAAAAAAAGCGCATGTAACTAAATTTAACTAATGTAGTCAAGGAAATAAACTAAAGATCACTAAAAAAAATTATAAATAAAACAAAAAGTAAGATTTAAAAAAAAAATCGGTTAAAATAAACACCATTATCGATATTATGTAGGAAATGAAGTGGTAAAAAAAAGGATAAAAGATCATGTACACAAAAATTAAATTACATAGTTTATTTAAAGGGCAAATAAGTAAATGAAGCATTAATCCTATCAATTATCCAATGCAACAAATAGCAACCTATTATATCCTACCATACTAATCTTATGTCAATCTTGTACAATAAACTAAGACATGTATCTTATCTCTACAAAACAATCTTATTAGATAAGATAAAATTAATCTAGTCTCGTCTCCCTAACAAACGAGCTCTTAGCTTATTTAGGAGTCTTAGTTTGGTTAGGAGTTTGAATAAAAGGCATGTGCCTATTAGTATTCTATTAGTTTGGTAAGTCTTTATTTGCAAGATGTTTAGTTGCCTTAGGATTTATTTACTTGCATGAATTAGGAGATCTTCTTAGACTAGGATTAGATCTATTTGGTATCTATAAATACCCACCTATGTACCATTTGAAAATATGTTGATGAGTGAATAGAAAATCGAACGTTTTATTCAAAGTTCTCGCGTGTTTTCTCTTGTGAGTTTACATAGAGTTCATGATAGAAATAGGACCAACATCCGAGTTTCGTCACAGTGATAGAAATAGGACCAACATCCGAGTTTTGTCACACCTATCGCGAAGTACGAAGGCGTCGGCGTGCATATTAGCAATCTATCTCGAAAGAACCAAGGCGTCGGCGCGGGTTTCGAGCAATCGAGTTGGACGGAACACACGATCCTTAATCATTGGTGCTTTCATTGAGAGTGAATGATCGTATGTTGAGTTAAACTTTTTCTTCCTATTTCTATTTTTCCTTCTTTCGAATTTTTCTTTTGGTTTCATGAGTATCAAAAGAAAAAAAAAAGAGAGAGATGATGACACATATAGAGAGGATCGAAGCCTTGGAGGAGAGTTTGAAATCCATCGGCAATGGCCAACAAGTTGTCAATGAGAATTTTGCCAAACTCGAGCTCATGGTGCATGACCTCGCCGGGCAGCTCACACGCATCACGCGTCGACCGTGAAGGAGCCATCTCGCGATCGACCATGGCCTCAAGCAGCCCCGGGACCGACCGCGACGACTCAGACGGACGTTCGCGGATGACGCGCGCATCACGCACGACACGCCAACCCGACGACCGAGGACATGCACGACCGAAGCTCACTATGCCTACGTTTACGGGGATCGACTCGGACGCGTGGTTAAGTCGAGCCATGGGTGTCATATGTATACAAGAGCAAAGGCGAGCACATTCGATGGAGAGATTTCGAGAAGGAGCTGGTCACACGTTTTGGGACGAGTGATTATTATGACTATGACGAGGCACTCTCCCGAATATGTCAAAACGGTAGCCTCCGAGACTACAAGAAGGAGTTTGAACGCATTGCAAGTCGGGTGCGAGATTGGTCCGAAAGCGCATTAGTAGGCGTGCTTATTGGAGGACATAAGGCCGAGCTGGCGGCCGAATTGATATTGGATAGACCGAGGTCCACACGAGCGACCATGGAGTCTGCGCGGCTGCACGAGGACCACATTGCCACGGTGCGCAAGGCCAACAAAGGCGAGGGACGTACTGAAGCACGGCGCGCGAGCGCGACAGCGGACGAAACGCCCCCACGGGCTGAGACCAAGCCTACTGACGAAGGCGCACGAACCACGAGCCACATGCGACGGCTTACGACCGAGGAAATCCAACGAAGGCGCGAGAAATTGTTGTGCTTTACTTGCAATGAGAAATTCACGCCGGGTCACAGATGTGCGGGAAGCAAGTGTTCTTGCTTGAATTTGATGAAAATGAGACTGAACGAGAGGAGTACGAGCACACCGAACGGAAGGAGACCTTGCTACATGTGATAAAGAGCAAGAAGAGGGATGCAAAGAGAGGTCCGAAGATGATACGGTTTACGGCAACCGTACAAGGCGAGAGCTTGAAGTGCTAGTGGACAGCGGTTCAACACTAAATTTCATAGACAAGGAGTTGTCCAAAGGATTGAAGTCGCCAGTGACGAACATAAAACAGTTTGCGGTCAAGGTTGCAAATGGAGAAGAACTTCTTAAGAGTTCCGAGCTATACAAAGGGGTTCCGATATTCGCACAAGGCTACGACTTAAAGGTTGATCTATACGCCTTACCTTTGATGGGACCGGACATAGTACTTGGAGTTCAATGGCTCGAGACATTGGGGCCTATCATGACGGGCTACAAAAAGGGCACTATGGCATATGGGCGAGCCTGAAAGCGAGTTAAGTTGCAAACTGAGGATCCAGGAGAAGAGCCTGAAGAAGTTGACGAGGTCAATTTCATTATCCTTGAGGACAAGGAAATTCTCGAAGAGGGCGAGAATGATGAAGATGTGGTCATTGACCCTTACGAGCCCGAGGGCAAGAACCATGATGGCCTCGAGAGACTGCGCGAGGTTAGGCGGGGAAGGGCTCGAGGACGAACTAAAAGGGTGTGCATACGCACAAAGGCGCGCGCATCGGCAGGATGCGGCAACCAAGCCGCCAGGCGTGCGAGTCTAGGCCGGGTGAAGAAAAGGTACGCGACGGGTAGTGCGGGCGAATGTGAGGAATGGACCAACGACGAGTGCGAGAAGATAGTGCCCTGGAAGGTGGGCGAGTGGTGCAAGGCGTGCGCGAGAGAGCGACGTGCACGGCGAATAGAGGCTAAGGCAAACGGTGAGGGTGGATGTAGGGTGGACAGCGTGCACTTGGGGCGGCTGCGGTGAGGCGGACGCACGAGTGAAGTAGGGTGCTGCGATGGGCTCGATGGGCGGGTGCGAGCAGGGCGCGACAGCTAGAGTCACGCGCGAGGCATTGGACGAGCGCGGGCGATGTGTCGAACAAACGAGCGTAAGTGGCTTGCGTGCGAATGGACGGGGCATGACGCGCCAGGCATCGAGCGAGCGGGAGGATGACGCCGAGGGATCGATCGTGCGGGACACCCGCGCAAGTGGGGGGGACGCGCGAGATGGGGCACGCGGTCGAGCACCTCGGGCAACGGGCGATGCGTGGGGAGGGCGCGCGCGCGGTAAGGACAAGGACTCGTAGGCGGCGCGCGACGCAGACAGTTAGGGTTTTTGGCGCGACCGACTTGGTGAGAAAGCAATAGGGATTTGGGCATGATTTACTTAGCTTATTTAGGAGTCTTAGTTTGGTTAGGAGTTTGAATAAAAGGCATGTGCCTATTAGTATTCTATTAGTTTGGTATGTCTTTATTAGCAAGATGTTTAGTTGCCTTATGATTTATTTACTTGCATGAATTAGGAGATCTTGTTAGACTAGGATTAGATCTATTTGGTATCTATAAATACCCACCTATGTACCATTCGAAAATATGTTGATGAGTGAATTGAAAATCGAACGTTTTGTTCAAAGTTCTCGCGTGTTTTCTCTTGTGAGTTTACATAGAGTTCGTGATAGAAATAGGACCAACATCTGAGTTTCTTCACAGTGATAGAAATAGGACCAACATCCGAGTTTCGTCACACCTATTGTGAAGTACGAAGGCGTCGGTGCGCGTATTATCAACCTATCGCGAAGGAACCAAGTCGTCGGCGCGGGTTTCGAGCAATCAAGTTGGACGGAACACACGATCCTTCATCACCGCGCAGGCCCACGCACCGTCCCAACGCGCCCAGCCCCTTATATGGAAGGTTAAGGCGACCCCAGCCTTATTTAAACCCTTCTTTCCCCCTCCCCAAGCCTCCTAACACCCCTCCCTCTCCTCTGGTCAGTCGCCACCCTTCTCCCCTCCCAAAATTCGCTCCACCGCACGCCAAAATGTTGGTGTTTGACGAGTTGACCTTGCAGCCTACACAGCAGACCGGTGGTATTCCATTCTGCTGAACCAGGTGGGTTTTATTAGAAATATGCTATGCACTAAATTTTTTGCCTTACGTGTGGTATGATCAAAGTATGCATGCGAACTATGTAGCCTTCGATGTGAGCTGTACCGGCCGTCGAACGGTTGTCCCCGTATTTATGAAATGAAACCGAGGGGTTACTCCTACTGATTGGGCATTGATAAAAGCCTGAGGGGCATTCGGTGTACCATCCCGAGGGGCATAGACGTAGAGCCCGAAGGGCATTCGATGTAAGACCTGAGCGAGGGCATTCGATATGTCTACTGAAAGTAGTCTATTGGTATAGGTGTGCACATGAGTCTTAACACTGTGAATTTATGATGGAAATTGGGATAATTAATTGATTCTTATACATGCTGCGATCATACTATTTTTATATATTGATTATTGTTTATTGCATAGTGGTGAGCACTATGATTTACATATGTGCTCACTCCCACCTGAAATTAACATTTCAGGTTGAGCAGGGCGGGCATGACAGCGGAGTGGAGCGAGTGGTGGTCGGTCTTTATGACCGGTTGTTTAATTGTTTCTTCTGCTATCTATGAACTGTTTTGATGATATTATTATTTTATGAAACTCTGAGATTTTATGTTTATGGAGAATAATGTTGGGGGATGCCCCGTGAACACTGTGATAATTTGAAAACCTGGTTTGGGAGATTGATGACTGTTGAGAACCCGTTTTGGGTAATGTGATGACTTATGATTTTATGAATCCCGATTTGGGAGTTGATGTTATGACATGATGATTGATGTTGAATTTAAATGAGTAACGCCTCGAATGTTTTGAAATGAATTTCGAAAAATTAAATTAATTTTCTGGAAAGCCATGGATTTTCGTCAAATCAAAGTGGGGCGTTACAAGAATGAATACATAAAAATATTATCTCATACAATATATATTGTTATGAATATATTAAAAAAAATTCAAGTTTCATTTTGCTTTCAATTATTACGTATGCAAATATTCCTTCACATCAATTCTTTCCATAGGTACTTTTGAATGGCAAATACGTTTGACCCGTTCGTTACAATTATTACGGATGCAAACACCCCGACGTTGGTATGAATTTGCCCGATCAAACAAACATGTTTTTGTTTAAATTTTACTACTGAATTGTTAGCTTCAATGAAAAAGAGAAAAAGAGAACAAACATGTTTTTGTTTAAATTTTAATATTGCCACTCCACATGCCTGGTCAGAAATTTTTTAAAAAAAAAAATAGCAAAAAAATTAAAACAATGTTTGAAATTAATTTGGGTTCCCATGCCATGCAGTTAGATGGAGGAATTACAACATGGTTATCTTCTTTCAACATTCATGCTATGGTATTATAAATAAGCACACCCATGTTAAAAAAATACAAAAAAAAAAAGGTTGAGCGAAATAAGAGTCTTCAATTAATATTTTATTTCCAATACTATACGATCGTTGGGCGAAATCAACAAATTCAATAGTTTCAGTTTATTATAATGTTCTATTAAAGTCTCGCTAGTGTAGTTTATTAGGTTATGATTTATGTAAATAAATTGACATGTCGGTTACCAACTTGTATGGTAGAAGCAACACAAAAGCAATAATAATTATCATTTCACAATACATTTTTATTTGAAATATGAAATAGCAGTACATAAATCTCAATTTTCCTCTCCTTCTTGTTTGCGCTGCCATACGTCTTTCTTCGGCTCAGTAGTCGCGAACAACTTGGGCGAGTTTGTGATGGTTACGTTCACCTCTCGCGCTCATTTCACCAGGATATGGGTCAAGCCCTAGGGGTTCAAAAATTATCATCAAGGTTTCCCATAGAGGCTCAGGATTGTTGCTACAATAATGGTCTGCTAATGCCAAATCTGAGAGAATATGATGTACTCGAGTTACACAGTCATAAATGTAATTTTACAATTAATTATTACATAACAAATGGAGTTAAGACAATGTTTGTAATAGAACATATTTATATAAATAAACGACAAAAAAAAAAAGAAAAAGGAATTGTGGTACAATTTACGTACCTCAAGTGCTTCCTCTCGATCGTCCTCGTCAAGATAGATGGTCTTTGCGTGTCTGTCGAAAACACGAAATGGATAATCTATAAAATATTTTAAATGTTCTATACCTTTCTTTCAATACCATGAATGTGGTATATCATTCTTTCAAAGTCAAATTCAAGCTAATTTCACCCAAGCAACTTTTGTAAATTCTATCAAATGCTATATATATGTCAAACTCGGAGTTCAACCCTTTTGACTGGATGTAATGTAGAACAATGGAACAAAAAGATTCCTCAGCTGGTGGAAGCCGTTTGTTTGAAAAGCCTTCTCGTATATAGCAGAAATGTTCATTTGTTTCTGCCAATGATAAACCCCACATGATTGTAAAGAAAATCAAATAATGAAAGTTTTGCAGTGGTGATAATTGAACAAATAAATTTATAGGGAAACCCATGTAGGTATATATATAGGAAAAGTTTGTTGGTGATAATTGAATTGGATATAAAGGTAATACTGTGTACCGGCCATCGTTACGGTACAATTACATCTGCATGTTGTTTTTAGTTGTATATTAGTAAAATATGGACAAAGAAATATGGATTAAAATGTTGCAGAGCCCAACATCAGGTACATTCAAGGTACACAAAGATAAAGGACGGATGAGAGGAGCCTGCAAATAATGTCACAACCCATTCCTACACCTAAAAGTGGTCAACAAGACTCTACAATTACAACTCATTTCACTTCTCAGTAGTCACGTCGTACAGGTTGTTTTTATATTTTCTTTTTCTATTTTTTTTTCCTCACTTCTCATATATTAATGAATGTTGGAACTACAAGTTCGTCTCTTTCTACATAAATAATCTTCATATGCATTAAAAATAAATTTTATTATTAATATATATTTATAATATGTATATAATTATTATCTTCATAGAGAAATTACATTTTGTCGCCTCTTGGTAATTCATATATGTATGTAATATGTGGAAACATTAGAGAAAACAAATATTCACAGAAATTTTTAATATATATTTTTCCGTTTATTACAATTTTACGTTGCATGCGAGTAATTTACGTAATAAAATAAAATTTATATACCAAATCATCAAATCTGATTTTATATAGCAAATAACTTTACCAAACCAATTATTATGAATTTCTAACCATGAAATATGATTTTATATACTTGTAAATAACAAGAATTTATATATTAAATATTATTGTATATATATTAATATACATGAAGTATATGAAATTAAGTAGGATTTTTCATTACTCACTATTCTGTGCTTTTCCGTTTATATATATTATTTATTTACGCAAAAATGTATATATGTACTTCTTTACGTCAATTATTGCAAAAATATATTATCACTTAATTCGTTGGTTGAACGTGGATTATACCTCAAAATGTTTTCGGATATAATTTGCATTAATACACAAATAAATTCCATATAAAATAGATACAATAGAAAAAAAAACATACGCGACAAATAAAACTTATTTGTAATGAAATTTTTCATTACATCATGATGAATTTCAGAAGTGCTATAATAGTTAAGAACCCAATGACCATAAAAACACCACAAACACAAAATGGGCATGCAATTTCAGGGGGTGACGGTGTGTCATTGTTCGTTGGCGCATGTGACGTACTTGCGTAGTTGGACCCACGAGTCGTATGACGGCTACTTTGTGCATTGGATTGCGTATTACAATATGTTTGAGCACTTTCCCTTGAAGAAAAAGAGAAATTACTCTCGTTCTCCCAAACAAAACTCTCTGGGTGTTGTATTCCTGTTGGGCACTGATAAAAATACTTACCACAATTTTTTCTGTTTTAGCCATAAAACGGGACACCCGACTACTTCCACAAGAACACAAAGGTGGCTGAGAAACTATGATGAATTTTGTTGATGATTTGTTCGTGGAACACATCCTTTTATATAGAAAGCAAAAAAAAAATTTCCCACTCAATTTCTCACTTTTTTTCCCTCTTTTTCTCCTATCAGCTCCCGCAAAAAACACTCCCTATTTTACACCTTCTCTCCCTCTTTTACACATTCTTTTTTACCAACCAGCCACCTCATAATTTTTAATTTAATTGGTCCTACAATGAATGAGATATGACTTACCTGCCACACCTATATCCCACTCTGTATGCACATAAACAAAGCAAAAATGCCTTCTCATACATGATGTATCAGGTGACAAA